ATCTCTTAAGACATATGTTAATTACATAATTCCAATTTTTCATTTATCAAAATATTTATTACACAATTTTTAAATTATTTTTAAGAAAAACTGTCCCAGACGACTTCAAACTAAGTCGTCTGGACGACTTAGTTTAAAGTCGTCTGGGCAGACGACTTGCGAGGGCTAAAAACGTCAAAAAAAAACTCTTTTTTTGTTTATTCACAAGGGGTTGGTTGTAATTTCAACAGCCTTTTAAGTTACTTTTGCATTTGATTCAAGTTTGGGTTTACTTTTGCATTTCAAATCAAGTTTTGAGTCATATTTGGCAATTTTCCCTATAAGATTGTGCGCCAAAACCAAAAACTAAATAAAGAAATTTGCTATAGTTATCACTAACTAATAGATTCCATACACTATCATGTAACAAAATGTATTTAACTACTATTCTATATGTTATTTTTTAGATCAGTCTCCTCCCGTGCAAGATACAAGTCTTTACCTAGTAGATCCATAATAAGAGATGCAAATTTATATCATACTATAAATAATTTTAGTTTGTTTTGAAAATAATCCCGCATTTTCAAAGTACATCAAAATCTAGTAATCAATTTAAAAATGCAAGCGAAGACAAGTGAAATTGGAAAAGTAAACTAGACTGTGACAAGTGAAATTGGGAAAGTAAACTAAACTTAGTCTTAATACTTAAATGCAATATATTGAAAAGCAGCAGTTGTCTATACGAAGAGTCGAGCAAAGGAAACATAATCACACTATATAAAGAAATAAAATGACAGTGATTATTGAAACAGAAAATCAGACGAAATACTTTAGAAGCAACGGATAGATGAATTTGAGACTACTTTTAAGAGAGTTTGAAGGAAAATTCGATATGGAGAAAGCCGTGTGTAACCATGGCTTCTTCATGATGGCTCCAAACGTGTGGAACCCCAAATCTAAGTCACTAACTCGACCTTTGACCCTTTCAGATTCCTCTTCTGTCAGTGTGACAATCTCTCACCCTGAAACTCTCGCTTTTCTTGTGATCCAAGTTCACGGCATGGACAATGTCTCAAGGGATGACGAAGAACTCATCTTGAAACAAGTAGGAAGGATGCTGAGAATATCGGCCGAGGACGAACGTGACGTGACCGAGTTCCAACAACTTCATGAGGATGCAAAGAAGAATGGTTTCGGTCGAATTTTCCGCTCCCCCTCTCTCTTTGAAGATATGGTGAAATCGATCTTGTTGTGTAACACGACTTGGGAGAGGACACTAGGTATGGCTTCTAACCTCTGCATGCTGCAATCTAAGCTAGCTGACAGAACGGTTAGGCCTAGTAGTCAAACTAAAAAAAGGAAACGAGTACTCAAAGAAACAAAGAAAAGTTCCAAGAAAGAAACAAGAGGAAACTTCCCAAGTGCCAAGGAGCTAGCTAGCCTTGACAAAAAGTTGATAAACGAGCACTGTAAACTCGGGTATAGAGCAAATTGGATCGTTCAATTAGCAAAGAAGGTGGAAAGCGGGGAACTGAATCTTGAAGAGATGGAAAGGGGAGCTATGAAAGCAGAACAAGTGTCTGAGAAACTGATAAAATTGTCAGGCTTTGGTGCTTTTGCAACTGCAACAGTGCTTATGTGTATTGGTTATTACCATCTTGTTCCATCTGATACCGAGACCCTAAGACTTCTCCGAGAGGTATATGTTATATATATATATATATATATATATATATATATACATACTAGGTGTTTTGCCCGCATATGCGGGCATTATTTTTCGTACATATGTGCAAGCATAATTTTCGTACAACTTATTATTAGTCTATATTTTATTAATTCAAACCAATATAATAAGTTATGATTTATGTTTTAAAATTAATTATAAATGACAACACTCACATAACAAAATATTTTTAAAAATATATTTTTCCAAATGTATTGCTTTAATTTATTTTAATTATAATTTTCTATCTTATTTTTTTATTACTGTAATAAAATATATTTTCAAGATAACAATGTAATACATAAGAAGTATCTCATTGTCTCAAAATATAATTTTTAATAGAAATTCGTTTTTATTTTATAATAAATTTTATATGAAATTATTAAAAATATGAAAAATAATCAAAATTATCTAAATCATGGAGAAATTACAAATCAGATAATTCACTTAAATTTTCTAACAGAAAATATATGTTCAAGATAACAATCTAATACATAAGAATTATCTTATTTTTCTAAATCTAGTATATTAGTATACATTCGTTTTATTATTTAATAATTTATATATGAAATTATTAAAATATGATGAATAAGCAAAATATAAAACCATGGAAAAATTGATAAATCAGCATTGCTTTCTTTATATTTAACTATTAAATATTTTAACTTAATTTTTAATTTCTATGTTAAAAAATATATTTTAAAGATAAAAATATAACACATAAGAACTATCTTATTTTCTAAAAGTATAATATTATTAATAGAAATTCGTTTTATTTTATGATAAATTATTCATAAAATTATTAATAATATAACAAATAAGCAAAATTAAAAAATCATCGAGAAGTTACAAATCAATCAGTAAATTCACTTGAATTTTATAATAAAAATATATTTTTAAGATAACAATTTAATACAAAACAATCAACATATTTTCTAAAATATAATATTATTAATATAAATTCGTTTTTATTAAATAATAAATTGTATATGAAATTATTTAAATAAGGTAAATAAAAAAATTTACCTAAAATCATGGAGAAGTTGACAACTAAGCAAATTTACTTCTTATATAATAGTATAGATATATATATGTTTCTTAATTACGTTTATAGTTAGTTAGATTTCGTTGATTAATCTAATCTAATTTTATTATGTTTGTAGTTGCATGGAAAGGAGGAATGTTCGAAAGAGACGCTAGAGATAGCAGCACAGTCATTTTACGACAGATTCTCTCCATTCCAGTCTTTAGCCTACTGGTTCGCTTCTAGTATTTTGAAAATCTTAAAGCATATTCAGTTCTTGTTAATATATATATGCTTCTTCTCACACTATATACAGGTTTGATCTAATCCAAAACTATGAAACAAAACTTGGCAAGCTTAGTGAGTTGAGTCCGCTTGACTACAAGAGTGTTAGCGGATGCTCTCACATGAAGGAACTCAAGGCAGACTAGAAGATATCTCTCTCTCTAAATGAAACTCCGTTTGTTTGTTACTCAAGTAGCTTAATTGGTTTCAATTTCTTTCTTTGTTATTTTTTTCTTTGGCTTTTTTTTTGTGTTCTACATTACAGCTTTGTAACATTTCATTTTCATGATATTAGAATTAAATATGGGAGAAAGGATCTCTTCTGTGGGTGCGTTGTCTCTGTACCGAAACTATCTGTTACAGAAAACAAAATACTAAATTTAACAAGTATAAGAAGGAAATCTGTAATGAAAATGAAAATGGACTGGACATTCGTAGTTCAAGAACTAAGGGTATGTACATCAATGAACCCCTTTTGGGGTTCAAGTTTTAATTTTAACAGAATTCGTAGTTCAACAGAATTCTCCATAATCTCCACTTGCTCATGAACTCTCCAATCACACAGTACCCTCTGAAGTTTCTTTCAATACCACAGACCTGTTGCAGTGACTCATCCCTTTGCCATCACCATTCCCTTGCTAGCCTTCTAGGTTTTCCTCATGCACATGTAGACCAAAACCCTTGGAACTACCAAATGTTGAAGTCTCGATCGATCTTGAAACTCTTCCATTTATTTAACCTGTAACCAATCTCACCAACAGCTGACACCACTGCAGAAACCTGAGATCCACCTTTACAGCAACCTGTCTAACTAGATAACCTTGAACGCTTTGATTGCTCAAGCTTCCTGTTAAAAACAGAAAACCACTACTAGCACTCTTATACTCCGTCTCATATCAGCAACATATGATTTCCTGACAGCCGCTTCTACATCACATCTAGAATCCATGATGACCTTGAGCTGTAACAGTAACCTGCAATACATTTTCCACCATAAAAACTTGCTTCATGTATCTTTACCCGATACTACTTGACTTGAATCTCTCTATGACCGACCAATCAGCTTCACTTGTACCGTGCCTCTGATAATTCTGAATTCTTCACTTGACTGTTATGTAAGTGATCTCTGAGATGATGCCTAAGCCTTCTTATGATGCCAACACTAGAACACTTCTAGTCGTTATCTTCAAATGCAATGAGATTTTCTTTTAGTTGCCCCTCCAGCCTTGAGATGACATATTCACTCGACGAATACATAACAGCTTCCATCTTCTTTAATTGAAGTATATGACCTGAAACCGTCCATGCTAAAATTGCATTTATACCTCTCAGTGGGATCTATTTAGAGATCCCACCGGACACTTCAAGTTATCCTCATCTCAAGCTCATACTTTAGTATCTTCTCTGAAACTTTAGAGAACTTGCAACTTGTATCTCATTACTTCCATCAAAAAACCACAAGACATTCCTTTTGGTCATCGAATGAGACCATACCAAGCTTGAACGTCTTATACTAACCTGATCTTGCTTTCCTTTTTATCTTCCCACGAGCCTCAACTTTCACAGTGATACAACTTCCTTTCAGGTCCTACTCTTGAACAAACCAGATCACATAACCGGACCAACACATTTATCTGAAGCAACCCAGACATCTTCTAAACAGCACTGAAAACTCCACCTGGAACCAAAACCATATTCTGAGGATGCATCACTCATTACATAATATTTTTTTTTTGAAAGAATATAAAATTTATTCAATCAAAACCTTTTTACAACAAGTGCATCAGTTTTTTCTCAAGAAAAGAAACAATACAACCAACAAAAGCCAAAATCTCAAGCTTGATACCAAAGTAATCAAACTTGAGTGCCATTTACCTTCCTCATTAAAAACCTTATTTGAGAAAACCCCATGGGAGAAAACTCAAATAAGGGAAAAAGAGTGAAGATCATGGCAAAAGAAAAAAATCTCAGAAAAACAAAACCACCTCCTCCTTGAGCAGAAACTTCCCAAGCTTCAAAAGACCACTAAACAAGAGCTTCACGTGCTGGTATCCACTAGTCTTGAGCCAAACCAAGTGCTTAAACCTTTCTCCAAATACTCCTGCCCCTGACCCTGAACCAACAGGAGCTTGAGCCGAATAGACTTGTCCACAAATCTTGTTATACAATCAGCAGTTTTAGCTAAATCTCCGTGCCTCCTAGCATTGCGTTCTCTCCAGACAGCATGGACTGCAGCTTGTAAAGCATACTTAATAAGAAACATCTTAGTGGCATTCCATCGAGAGCTTGAAATAATCTCTATAATCTCATCCCAATCAGTAGTAAAGCTCCTTTGAAGAATTCCTCCCACCAAACTTCTCCATATTAGTTTAGTATAACCACATCTGAAAAACAGATGCTGGCATGTCTCATCCTCCTCATTACATAACACACAAATCGGGTTAATATTGATGTTCCATCTCAGCATTCTATCGCAGGTTTGCAAGCGCTTGCGAACAGCAATCCACAACTGAAAAGCGTACTTAGGTGTTGCATAGGAAAACCAGATGCCTTTTCTCCAAATACATTTGAGATTTCGATGGAAGTGCCTCACCAGATTCCAAGTTTTCTTTGCTGAGAATTTCCCTTCAAAGATACCATCTCTCTGCTTCCACATTGGAATATCCTTCTCATGACTATTCAGCACACAGAGCTTATCAATATCATCTTCCAAGCTATTCAAAATATTCTCTCTATGCCTTCTCCTTCTATGAAAACCCAAGACATCCGCAATCATAGCATCACGAGGAATTCCCAAAACAGTGCAGCCTCTATCTCCAAGAATTGCATGCAGACAATCCCATACTTGACCAATTATCAAACCAAAAAGAAGTATCTTCCCCAGTATTCACTTTCATGCGCAAGAAACACTTTGCATCATCTCTTAATCTGAGAAGTTTCCTCCAAATCCAAGACCCAGTAACCATGCTGCTTCGAAGAGATCAAATAGACTTTTTTTCATAAGATAGCAATGAATCCATTTAACCCAAAGAGAATCCCTTCCAGAAAATATCCTCCACAATAGCTTCAGAGAATGCACTTTATTAACTTCCTTCAAAGGACGAATTCCCAGACCACCTTCCTGCTTTGGCATACAGACATCTCTCCAATTAACCTTTGCTTTACTAGTCTTCAAAGTAGGCCCAGACCATAGGAAAGCCGAGCAGAGACTCTGACTCTCAATCTCTTTCAAACAGCTTCCTGGCAGTTTAAAAGCTTGCATCCAGAAATTAGTCAAGCTTGTAATAACCGAGTTGATAAGCTGTAATCTCCCAGCATGAGATAAAAATCTCCCTGTCCAGGATCTCATTCTCTTCCGGATTCTCTCAACAAGTGGAAAATAGTCGTGAATTGTCATACGTTTTGTAAGCAAAGGCAAACCAAGATAACGAACAGGAAGATTACCTGAAGCAAACAGAAAGCTGTGAAGAATCTCTTCCTCCTTCTCCCTTTCAACTCCAGCAATATACATGGTAGATTTCTCAACGCTAATTTGCAAACCAGACATTTCAGCAAACTCTTTAAAAATGTTGAGAATACCTTCAATGGAATCCTTCTTCCCATCAGTGAATATCATCAAGTCATCTGCGAAGCACAAATGAATCAAAAGAATTTTATCACAGCGAGGATGATACCCAATTTGCCTCTCATCTGCAGATTTATCAAGCATAGACGATAGGACATTTATGCAGATAACAAAGAGATAAGGAGACAAAGCACATCCTTGTCTTAGACCCCTCTTACTTTGGAAGAACCCAGCAAGCTCACCATTAACTTGCACAGAAAAAAAAGCAGTACAAACACACAACTGAATCCAGTGCACAAACTCCTCAGGCAGATTAAGAGCACGAAGAGTATTCAATAAGAACCCCCATTGGACAGAATCAAAAGCTTTAGCAAGATCAATCTGCATTGCACACCTCGGAGTGATATCTGTTTTGTGATAATCTTTAACAATTTCTGTGGCTAATAACAAATTCTCCACCAGAAGTCTGTCTTTCACAAATGCAGATTGGTTTTGAGAAATGCAGTGAGGAAGAATACCTTTTAATCTGTTCGCAATAAGTTTGGATATCACCTTGTATAGGACGTTGCAACAAGAGATGGGTCGGTAATCTCTCATCTCCACGGCAGCATCCTTTTTAGGAATCAAAGCCAAAATGGTTGTGTTTAAACCCTTAGGTAGAAACCCTTTGTTGAAGAAAGACTGCACTGCTGTCGTTAGGTCTTTTCCAATGATACTCCATGTAGCCTTACATAATTCAGTGGTGTACCCATCAGGCCCATGAGCCTTGTTGCTTGGCATTTTAAAGACCACATCTCTGATCTCCTCTTCAGTGACAACCCTAGTGAGCTTCAACCTTTCCTCTTCACTACACCGATAAGGGATAATCTCTTGGAGCTCTTCAACTTTCCTGTGATGAAAAACAGAGGAAGTCATCGATAGAAAACCATTAAAGAAATTAACTGCCTCAGCCTTAATTTCTTCTTGCGTGTTGACAATAGTTCCATCAGAACATTTTATCTCCCTTATTGCATTCCTTGTCTCCCTTACTTTGGCCGCACTGTGAAAAACTTTGTTATTATGATCTCCCACTCTCAGCCAATGCAATTTAGACCTTTGTTTCAACAACTTTTCTTCAATATCAGAGACTCTTTGCCATCTCTCTGCAGCCATAATCTCCCGACGAATGCTATCCTGATTTGGATTGTGAAGCAAAATCTCCTGCTTTTCACAAAGATCCAGGAAGGCTTCTTTCACTTTTTTAGATAACTCTCCCAATTTTTCTCTGCTTAAGTTTCTGATCAAGGGCTTTAAAGCTTTCAGAGATTTTGAGAACCTGAACATGGCAGTTGTTGAAACAAATAGAGGATTCTGTTCTTTCCAGTACTCCTTCACCACTTCTGTGAACTCAGGCATGTCGACAAGAGCATTTGTAAATTTGAAAGGCCTACGCTTCCCTACATTTGGAGCCTTTAAATGGAATCTACCCCTGAGATGGTCTGAACACCCACCTGCTTCGAAAACTCCATAGGATTCTGTTTTCTGATTTAACCACACATCATTAACCAAAATGCGATCTAACTTTTTGCAAATGATTCCTTC